GGTCATGCTATCCGTTGTTCTATCCTCCGATTATTCAATGCATAACCATAACCGTTCCCCGGTGTTTTGCGCGGCGTTCGCATGGAGTTTCACTTTGGTTGCCAAACCGACTATGTTGAGACTACAGTACTACATAATTTCGTCAAATACAAACGTGATTCTCTCTATTCAATCAACTGGGAAAAAATGTGAGGCTACTACATCTTTTGGGAGTACCTTAAGGAACAAAGCCACAAGGACTGTCAGAAAGCTTCGGAAAACTCCAAGGAAGCACGGTGAGAGTTAGAGGGTTGCTTTTTGGAAACAAACCATTATGCTTAGTTGTAACGTTCGTTCTCTCGTCAGAAAAACGGCTGCTCTCACGAAACTGCGGGTATGTTCGAAGCTTGGTCTTTTATTACGCAATTCAGTGATTAAGAGCAGACTAGGTAAACCAAATAGCTACAACGAACTGCTTTTCAGTGATGGAAACTGGTAATCTAAGCAACGGGAATTGGGGTAGAGAACCAAATAAGGCCCCGTAGGTCAGGCGCGGTATTGAACTGGACAACAGCAAAGCTGCCTACCACCAAAGTTGGGTGGAGGGACTCGAATCTTGGATCACCGGGTTCAAAGCACGCCGGTGACAGTGACTAAACCGTATATTTCAAGAAAGCTAGCTTCATAAGGGAATAGATGATGAAATGGTACACCTGGATGGCTTCGCTAGCTATCGAGTCGACCGTCCTGTTCCTTATTCCAGACGGGATGGTGGTGTTATCACATTCGTCAAAAATCAGCCTTGCGAGTGTATATGCCCCCTTGCTCATCTGGTATTTTTAATGATTTTTATGACACTCCTAGGTGTGTTGAGATTGTGAAAATTTCAGTAGCCTCGTTGGGATTCAAATCCACGCATGGACGCCGCCTACACTTTTGTACAGCGCATGCACTACCAGCTGAGCTGTGAGGTCATACCGATCGGTGGACTCCGGTGAATTCTAAGGAAAACCTGTCGTGACAGTTAGATTGATTGCTAACTAGTGGATGCTATATGCCTCTGTAAGTTAAATGGGTAGTTCCAATATGAAAAGATCAGGGCTATCGGTGCGGCCCCGTAGCACAGCTGAGGGAGAGTGAACTGGAGAAAAGCGTAGGCGGCGTCCATGCGTGGGTTCAAATCGCACCGAAGCTACTGAACTTTTCACAATCTAAACATAAAACTTTAATCTGCCAAACACTAATGTGAACTCTCAAATGTATTGATTGAATATGTGGATACCTCATTTTGCATGGTTTGTGGCGAATTTATTAATTCTGATACTCGTTTCCTAACCACTTTAGGTTTTCAAAATGTTCTCGCATTTCCCACAAGATTTGATGTATATATAGATTTAGGTTGGGTCAACTTTCCTAATCTGCTTCGGTAGAATGCGCCACTATAGGGATGCTCACCACTCTATGTTTAAATTTTCCCGTACCATTTTTAGTAAAACTAACCACCATCTCTCTACTCAAAGTCGTGATCACAAGCTTCAAATCCGGTAGCGTTCACTGGGAAACCTCACGAGGCTAAGGGAAATGAGTAATCACTTTGACCTTACTTTTACTTCCGACTATGACCCTTCCGTTTTCTGTGATCATTTAACAAGCCAACAAAACTTTTGTTACGACGGTTGCTGTACCTCAGACGCAATTTTTACCCGGCCCGATCGATTCGCCTTCCCATACCTCAAACAACTTCGTTGTAAAACAAGCGTGCCTTTAGAATACTTGAGAGCATTGAGGTGTGCACTCGTTCTAAATGATGAACTTTCGCAGACGCAACTCGGCTTGACAACAAAGGTAGTCGTGAAACCTGGCAAGGCCTCGTGCGAATTTCTGGCACTAAATTCCCATACCACGCACCTGCTGAGTTTCTGAATCAGAGTTGCATCAACAACGGAACCGCACTCTCTGCCCTACCTAATGAAAGTGACATGGACATGACCGATCCTGTTGACGGCATTGTCCCCCCCCCCAGCCAAATCTTAAGAGTTGCAGGTTCAGTAGCTCTGATGGAGTCTCATTTACTATCCTAAAGGAGTATGCTGTCTTCCTTACCCCTGTACTGTGTGAACTTTTCAACAGTTGTATTTCACAGCGGCGTATTCTTAACCGCTGGAGAATAGGCCGAATCACCCCAGTACCGGAGAAAAGGATCTAAACATTTTGTCCCATTGCTTGCACCTCAGTTGTTTTGAAGTTGTTTGAGAGGCCACTATCCACACGGTTGAATATGAATGACCCACACGAGTTTGTATACACTCCTTCCTGAGGTACCCAGAATACCCTGGTTTATCTCTCCCACTCTGCTTTATCCAACCTTGATAAGAAAAGCAAGACTGTCCGCAAATGTTTTCTAGGCTATAATGATATCTCCAACACGATAGATAGGTAAATATTGCTAAATACCCTTCCATCAAGTGGCGTTCAACTGTCTACGACTGAAATCTTGGCCAACTATCTCTTCAACGGTCAGTAGTTCACACGCTTCAAAGATCATATGTCTTCAATGTTGCCCCCTCACAAGGCGTAATGCAAGGTGCTATGTTATCCCCTTTCTATTTTCCGCTTACATTTCCTCTATGCCTGTGAGCAAATCTTCTCTTCTTGTTAAGTATGGAAACGATAATATTCGGACTGCTCTACCCGAACCGATCATCTCAGAGCACTCTGCAAGATGATACGTCAGAAATGATGGAATCGTCTGAATAAACGAACATCCGTATGAACCCCCTCCAAATTTAAATGACGTGATTTTTCCATTTTGAAATATCAAATTCCAGTCCCCCTTTCTTTATTTTAAATGACCAGATGGGTCAAGAACCGTCTGTCGAATACCTTGGTGCTATTTTCAAAGGTAACCTTACCTGGTCTAATCACGTCAATAACCCTTTTCCGAAGGTCAGGTGGCGAACGTTGTATTTTCCGTTTCAAATCCTTTTCTACCCGAAGTCAACTCATAAGGTGTTTAGGTTTTGCTTGCGTTTCACCCGATTGGCCTCTTGGGTTCCCTGTTATCCTCCTCACTCTTTTTAACAAGGACCAAAACTCATTTCCCGATCGCGCAAACTTCTGTCAGCATGTAGTCTTATACCATGGGAACGTCTGCTACACCATGTGGTGGCAAACCAACTCAAGTCTTGTAAAACATTCTCCAGGAAGATTTTGTCTGATATTTCCCATCCCCTTTATCCTGCTCTTAGTCAATACCTTTTTTACTCATCCACCCGTTCCAGTTATAAACTTATGAAGGCTCGCACCGAGGCTTACAGGCGCTGTATTGTCCCGTATTTCACCAAGATTTTCATAAACCATGAGCTCGTTGCAGAAAATCTGCGCAAAATGCTAATCTAAACCAATGATAAACACCATGGTATGCTATTTTTGTGGTGTTGCTGTCTGTTTCATTTTGTGTAATTGTTGTATTATATTTCCTTTTTTATTATTGAGACACTGGTTATGTGGTTGCTGACTATTCACCCGTCGAGATGTATAAAGCGATTCCTTGACTTGTCTTGACATAATTATACCAATAGCTCAAAATTAATCTGCAGGTGAACGGACGTCCAGATGGGAAGATGTATGTGCACTATCAAACGGTATCATTGGAGTAAACATCAAGACGGGAAGTATCCCACGAAATGGAAAACTAAGACGTAATTGAGAAAAGCTCTACGCTTGCGGGATACAGTTGAGTAGAACATTGTCAGATCTGACAGTGAACTTGAAAGGCATATGACACTCATCACAAACTTACCGTGACTTGAGAGACCGATCAACTTTTCCAATTGCTGCTGTTGTGGATTGTTCTTCACAATTTCTGTTACACCAGCAGAACCCGCAAGCGAATTTGTAGGTTCTAAATCCTTGTTATCGGTGACGGCAGCGATATCTGTTTCGGTTTCATCCGCGATCAGTGGGCAAACGAACTGTGCGTGCACCGTGGGTAATTTATGTTTCGCGAAAAGCCGATAGAGGGCACGATCTCGTTGTATCACGGAGTGAAGGGCGGGACTGATCGCTTGGTCACCGGCCGCGGTCACAGTACCTTTAACACGGGAGCGATGTGCGCGACGAACAGAGCATGAACTGTCTATGGATTGAGACATATCTTTCATTGGGGTATCATTCAAAAGCTGAAGTCGCCTGAATCCTTCCATGAGGTAATTAACACGGCCCCGCTCGGTTTGTAGCAAACGTGTAGTGGTATCCATTACTGAAATCAGCTTTGACGTCGGGGTTGGCCTGTGATTACATATGCGGATTTGTACAGCATCCGAATGACAAATCAAAAGTATGTGTTTGTGACATACAATAAGGTTGTATTGTTTAGATTTCACACTGAGGTTACATCTTATCACTGGCAGATAAAATCTACTACCGAGAGAACCAATACAGAAAGACTTGATACAAGATGACCAACAGATCACTCATTTGGAGACCAGCTATCCACTTTACTACTGAAAATTTATGTTAGATGAAATGACAACCTTGCCAGTTGCAACCATTCTCACCGAAAGATCAGGTCATTCATTCAAAAACAAATGACCAGTGCTGCAGCTGGGAACCAACAGAGACGACGTTCGAATTGTGTACGCCATTATGAAATGGAAATAAAAGATTGCATCATCTCATGACATGAATAACATTGACAATAAGCCATTTTTAAGAACCTAACGGGAGCCCTCATTTTATGATAACCCCAGTGGCTGCCACAATACCTTCCCTATACCAGAGGTGAATCGAAAAGAAATATAGTGAACTTATGTGTGAATAAGATTAACAGACTATGAGTACAAAGTTAGCAGGTTCGTGAATAATAAAACCAGTAATTTCTAATCGAGGCATTGAAATTCAGATAGCCTTAAATTTTGCTTCAGTGAACCTGCAACGCGAAAATATACGATGCGAACGATAACAAATCGGAGGGGGCGGAGTGGTGGAAATGATGAAAGGAATGAAACAATCAGAAATTAGGTATTAGTCTGCTTGCATTAAACAGACCCACTGTCACGACAAACCTGCATTCACTTGGTAACATAAACAGATCAGCAACTACAAGCTCCATGAATATGAGGACTGCGTGTACAGTGAATTTGGACCGTGGTTTTAGATAACGCCATAAAAACTAAGTTGGAGTAGTAAGGTGTAACACCAATAATCAAACGACCAAAGCCAAGGCAAGAAAACAGCAAATTAGGAAGTAATGGCAAGAATGCCGTTACGCATGTGAACAGTGATGACCTTAAATGAACGGGTTGTTTTGTGAAACTGGTTCCAGTGATGATGAGTGTACTTATCATTTGCACCTTAACGTATCACGAAGTAAAAGCCAGAACAGCTTCGTTTAAAAGGGCACTGCTTTGCTGAAAGTCCGATGAGGCGGTAACAGCAGCTAGTGCAAACGGAAAACCATGAACCAAGTTCCTTGGATAGCTAGGGAGAATTGCGATAAAAAAATGGTGAATGGTCTTCTACCGTTGTCTTCAAGTCACTTGGAGAATGAAACCAAAATATCACAACGGAAAACAGATTATAACCCACAGCTATCGCCCATCTGGCAAATCTGTTCAATTAAATAACAAAACGTCAGTGTACATCACCCCATTCGATATTTGGCAGCGGATGCTGTTGGACTATCCACACACACACACACACACACACACACACACACACACACACACACACACAAACCGAAAAACATTTAACTTAATCTGAGAGTTGGGGTAGTGAGAAAATAAAAACCTGTCGCATGGACAAAATGATCAATACGGAAATAAGCAATGGAGATGGAACTAAATGGCTAGATTTGATTTATTAGTTTTATTGCACACTAGTGTGGATTAGAACTGTGATGTTTGGTTCTTAGGCGAAATACAGCCACCTTATGCAAGTTGAATTGGATGATTTTCTAATTAACAATCGGAGTCTTTGATTAGCTGAGTCCTGACTCGAAAGGGGGCTGTGTGATGTGTGAGAACTGCAATCCGCTAGTAACCGATGTTCAGTCTTTTATTTATACTTCCTTTGGACGAGTTAAACAACCAAGGTGCCTCTAATGGCTTACAGCTGACGGAAGCATTTATCGCACAGGCTCAACCTACCTGCTTGCGTGTTGATGACTTGCTTGCTTACCGGTTTATAGACCGGCTGTGTGCCCTACCTGTACGAAATGCCTAATTATTTTCTCACTTAACCGGGAAACATTTTGTCGTACCGTGATTGAACTTGCAGACTGCGTACAACATGCTTGGTTTATCGCACACTGCTTTCAGGTTTTGGAATAGTCCTGCCGCTAAACCTGGTAGTTTACTCTGGATATTCGTTATCACATTCCAGTCTATCCTAAGCACCGATTTTCTCCGAAACTTCAACCTCGTGATTGACCCCGTCAGAGACAAGCTTATCCACTGTCTTGTAACGCGGTGTTCCCAGCAGTAAAGTGGATGCAAAGTAGTCAGTAAAAATAGACTTAGTGACCGCAAACAACCAGATCTTAGCGCATTCTGAAGACATCGTGAAGACCGCAGTGATCACACCATTTGACTTACTGCGTATTCCGTTTGCCCTCAAGAAAACAACCCAAGTTTTTCAGCGCTTCATGGTATGGTACGGCCTGGAGTCCAGTATCCCTTTCTTTGGTTACTTTGTTTCAGAATCCGGCATCGCCCTCTTGCAAGGCAAATCGGTAGTCATTTTGGAGTATCCCGAGGAAACTGTGACCCAGCAACCTAAGCGTTTCTATAGCCTAGTTTTATCCCGAATTGCGCATAACGTACAGTACCACAAACTGCTTATCTTTGCAATATGTGGGGCTATAACGACGATGGGTTCGCCCTCAAAGAAACTTGCAATTTTTAAGGGTGTTTTAAAGCAATATGTTTGATGAACTGTGAAAAGCAGATAGGGGCCTATCTTATGATATTAAATAACAGCGTAAATTTACTGCATCGTAAACAATTCTGTTTATGAGGATGCATGCTTGGAATTGTGACTGACATGTGTTAAACATATGCGAATAACTCACGTGGTTGTCGCCATTTTCGGATCTATACCTGATCGGCGCGGACTGCGAATCGATGAAGCTAACTGCCGCTTCACCTCGACCGACAACGACTCCAGTTGATTGTCCAAATCGAAAAGTCCGGATTCAGCCAACCGTGCTTTCTGTTTTAATCGACCCAGCATGCGTGCCGATTCGGGATCCAAATGCCCGGCTAACACCGGCAGCCAATCACCAGCAGCACAAACCCGTAATGCTTTGCGTAATCTTTCAGCGTATGTCGCACTGTTGCTTATCTCTTCCTTTCTATCCGCGCTAGATGACTTTAACTCACGAAGAACCTGATCATAAAAAACATGTCGAAACGCGAAGGAACCCCTGATTCATGATCTAATGGTGGAGAGGTTCCAGCCATTGGAAAAATGAACAATCTTAATTCCATTCAATCTCTCAATTTTGAAGAAAATTAGAACAGAGAGTTAATAGATCGAAGAGCACGCATTGAGTCCTTTTCAATAAAAAAATACTGGAGCTCATTACGAACTCAATACAACGGAACTGTCATCAGTCGCAGAACGTATATCCTGTTGCAAGTAGTACGATCAAAATATTTTGAAAGTGTGCCTGAACAGGAGAAGGTGGGGTCTCTGAATTTGGCAGTGCTGTCTGATAAGCATACCGAATTGATAATTGTCATTTAAATGACAATTCGTCGTGTATATGGCAAATGAAGCGTGAACTGAAAAGCTCGGAAGCACTGGACAGCTGTTTCGACCTGGTTGGGTCTCATCAGCAGTGCGCATCCATCGACCCGACTGGGGATCGAACCCGGGACTTCATGGG